TCTCGTTGCCCCACCCTCTGAAGGCCCGTGGAGGCCCCCAGGACGGCGCCAGCCCTCGACCCCTCCACCGCCGCCCGCAGGACGGGCCGCGCCCCACAGAGGGGGGGGTGGGGGGGGCGCGGCGGGGAGCCCTCGGGGCCCGCTCCTCCTGCGCGGCTCGCCTCGGGCAGTGGCCCCCCGCGGCAGGAACTCCATGCAGCTGCACCCCGCTCGGGCGCGCCCGGCCGCCGCCGCGGGGGCCCGCCGGCCAGTCCGGCGCCGACCGGCGGGCCGCGCGCGCCGATCGGCCGGGCGGCCCCCGCGGCTGCGCTCGCCGACCGATCGCGGTCGGCCCGGGCATGCCGGGCGTTAGCCGGCCGCGGCCGGCCTCCGCTCACAGGCTGGCCGGCCGCCAGCGGCCGCCGCCGAACAAGCGACTCGGGGTGGCGGGGCTGGCGCCGGCGCAGCCAGCGAGCCCTGGTCTCCGGGGGTCCCCCTGGCGCTTTCGTGCCCTCCTACCTCCTCGAGCCTCCCTCGTGCTTGAGGAAGCACACCCTTCATCCTACCCCTCGCACCACCTCCTCCCGATCCTCCTGCCTTCCTCCTCCAGGGAGAAGCGCGTTACCTCCTCATCCCTTGTGCTTGAGGAAGCACACCCTTCATCCTAATTACCTCCTCGCACCACCTCCTCCCGATCCTCCTGCCTTCCCCCTCCAGGGGGAAGAGGCGCGAGAGTTTGAGTCCCTGGACTTCGGGTTCCGAACCTTCTCCCCAGGTGAAGTCGGGCGTGTCCCTCTACGGGAGGGACCTTCAACAAAAATAGTTTAAAATAGTCTGGGAACCTTCCAAAAAATAGTTAAAAATAGTTTTTTAAAAAAATAGTTAAAAACCTTCAACCAAAATATATAAAAAATAGTTAAAATAGTTAAAATAGTTAAAAATAGTCTGGGAACGATTGTTCTGGTGTTTCTGACTGTTTGGGAGGGCATGATTTGACTGTTTTAATGTTTCGTCCAAGATCCGCCTGTAGGACGGCATGCCCGACCGAACCCCACGGCTGGCACTTCATCCTCAGTAGTGGTGGACCGTCCTGGGGCCTGGCGAGGGCCCCAAGGCCGAAAATGACAGAACGATTGTCACTCTGGTGGTCAATGCCTTGGAAGTCTGGGGAAGGGGGTCGGGAGCCCTGGGGTTGTGGAGGACGATCAATGGAGAGGAAGCATGTTGCCAAATACTTCCCAGATGTCTAAAACATGTGTTGAACATGATTTAAGCATGTAAAAACATTGACGATAAAGAAAAACATGTCTTGAACACTTTTTACTACATCTTAAACACATTTTAAAATCAAGGATCGGACTATTAGGGTGTCCATGGTCGTGGCATCCACAACCCTGGGGGGGCTGGCTGGTCCGAAACATCGCGTCACCGGAGGCCTGGGCAGGCAGCAGGGCTTCTGAGAAGCTCCTCCCTGCAATCTCTGAAGGGCAGGCCGCCCAAGGGGCCCAGGCATCGGAGGCTGGTAGAGACTCAAGCAGTGTCGAAGCCGCCCTGGCTCGCCTATGGCCCTACCAAACAACGTTCTAAGAACCGGTTGTTATTGCCACGACATGTTCTTAGAACATGCCTGGTTGAGATTGTCTTGTTTTCACACATCGGGCTTATGTTCTAAGAACATTGTTTTCGTTATTAGAACATTTTTGGGTTCTAAGAACATTTCGTGGTAGGACTACTAGGAATGCAGGGACAGTCGGTCCCTGCTCAAGAGACTTCCTACCCTGACACGTCGATGAACGAATTGTTGGTGTTCGGTTCGCGAGAGGGCGTCGCGGCCGTCATTTTTGCGGGTCCAGGTCCGTCGGGTTCGGTCCTGGGCCGTTTTCACGAAGGGGTGGTTTACTGAAGGGAGGTTCGTCCCCCGCCGAAGGCATGTCGCTTGCCTGCGCGCCTCCGATGGAGGGGGTGACGCGACCACATGGCCGAGGGGCCCAGGGCTTGGCATCGCTCGGACGTGTGCATTTTTCCTTCGGCGAGGACCATCGAAGAGCATCCTCGATCATTTGGCGCAAAATCCACGCACGAAACCGAAAAAAGCACGGGGAATCGACGTCCGAGCGATGGCCAGGGGGGAGTGGGCCAAGGCACCAGAGCCTGGGCATCACTGGCATCCCGGAGTCGCTCGAGCGGGCTCGCGCGCGCCCCCGGCTGCTGATCCCCACGGACGCGGCCCCCCCCCTTTGGGCGGCGGCAAAGAGGGGAGCGACCAGGGGGGGGTGGATATCATGGCGTGGCCCATGATATTTCCACAGGCTTCGCGGCGACTGGTCTTATTTCATTACGTCCCTGGCCCCCCCCTTGGGCCGCGCACGTGCCGGCGGCCATGGTTTGCACCCCCCCCTCTTGGACGCCCCCATCTTGGCCGCCCCCGACCCCTGTTTTCTCTGTCTGAAGGGTATTACGGGAGAGGAGGGGCCTTTCCAGTTGTTCCATGCCGTTTTCAGATTGCCCAGGGCCCTTCCCAGGCCTTGGGAGCGTCAAGAGACGATTCGGGATGAAAGCTCGTTGCCGGGGACAGCCCTGGGGACCAGGACCCGTTCGCACCTCAGGACCCCTCTCTCCTCATGTCAATTCGTCTACCCTTGAATCCGCTCGGCGCCTGAGCCCACATGGCCGATGGATGGAGCAGCCGAGGGGGCACAGTCAAGACGCTGAAATGAGGACCGCTGTAAGTTCGGAATGGGGCTCGCTGTTCCTTCGGTCCTCCCGTGGTTGTTCTTCTAGCCTCCCTGGTGCACGCAGGCGCTTCGGTTGCCAGAAAGGGGCTTCGTTCCTTGTGTAGCGTTCCTTGTGGCAGCAGCTTGACTGTAGCCAGGGTGGCCACAAGTTTCTCTTTGTCAGGCCGCCCGACGGGGTCGGCCCCGAGCTGGGTCCGTTCCGAGGCGGGGCGGGCTCGGACGCCGCGTTGGCCGCAGACGGGGGCCTCGAAGGGTGCCGTCTGCTGCGGGCCTCCGAGGCCGGGCACTTACTCCAGATTTCGTAATAAAAGGGAGGGGGTCTGGACCCTCCAAGACAAGCCATTTCAGACCTCCCCCGTGGGAGAACCCTCCAAAACATCGTCCCCAGACCCCCCAGGCCCTCCAAGATAGCCTGGAAGAGACCCCCCCCCGAAATGAGACCCCCCTCCCTTTATTACAAACTCTGGAGTATGTGAGGAAGCTGGCACGGGTGGACCTGCGGGGCAGCAAACGACGGGCTGCAGCCTGCCAGCACGGGATGGCAGACCATCCAATCCGCCGCCTGGGAGGCCCTGGTCTGGGGTCGTAAGGTGCTGAACACCACCATCGGCCTGACAGCGCGGAGAGACCGCTGCATCCAGGGAGGGGCAAGGACATGCCGGCCACCACCAGTCCAGAGCATGGCCCAGCTCTAGGGCAGTCATCCTCGCGAAAGGCCCAACCACATTGCAGCTGCAAGTACCGCGAGGCAGGTGAGGTGCAGGAGGGGGCCAGCAACTGGACTTCGGCGTGGATGAAGTGGGGGAAGTTGCCGTGGGCGTGCGGGGAGTGTCCTTGGTTTGGCCAGAGCCCCGTGCGCCGCCGTTTCGTGCCCATTTGTTCCCCGATCAGTGCTTGCACTGAAGGGGTCCTAGCGGAATTCGGAAGATGTGGCGAAAGTTTCCCGCCGATTCTGGTAGCCGGCTTGGAACCCGGGTTCCCGGTTCCTGGTCCCCGGGTTCTTGGTTATTGATTTCCGGGCCGATTTCGGTGGGTTACGGGTTCCCGGGTTCCCAGTCGATCTCTTTATCGATCAGACCATCCACTGATTAGGGTCTTCTTCTGGTGTAATTTCTTTCTATCTTTCTCCCCTCTCCTTGTTCGCAAACTGGAGCATATACATCACCAGTGGCGGGTTGTTTTTCAATCCCACGACTTTTGGAGGATCGGGGACGACGTCTGGGTGGTGTGGTGCATACTTTCACCCCGTTTTCCTAGGGAAAACAACGAGAACTGTATACACCATGATCCCGTATACAGTCAAAAACCCTAATACGGACGCGCGACTTTGCTCAGGGTACCCTTGCGTCCTTGCTCTTCCCTGCTCTTGCGTCCTTGAGGTTTTCGTCGTCCGCCGCACCAGAAATCCCAACTTCGGCTTCCAAGGGTCTTGCGTCCTTACCGCGCGTCCTTATCAGGGTTTTTGACTGTACACCAGGGTCCGCGTCCCTGTGCGAATTTCAGCGCAGGGTCGGACAAAGCGTCGGTGCATAGAGCTCGCTTCCCTACTTGTCTCCTCGCCGTGGCGCGCTGCATTCCCATAATTTCCCGCCCGGCCGCCTGTGGCCCGCCCCCCCTCGGATGGGGCCACTGCTGAGCGTGCGAGGGTTGCGCCGAAAGGGGGCGGCGGAGCCATACTGGCCCCAGATGGAGGAGGAGGAGGAGGAGGAGGAGGAGGAGGAGGAGGAGGAGGAGGGAGGAGTCGGGGGAGCGTAAGACCCGGGTTTGCCAGGACTCGGGTTCGCCATCGTTTTTTGACGACCGCGCCTCGGATTTTGACGAGGAGGAGTTTTGTGGGATGTCTGCAGCGGGAGGCCTCGTCAAAATGCAGGCTCGGCCTCGTCATTTTTTTGACGGACCTCGTCGGGGATTTCCGAGTCCCCCGTACCCGGGTCTTACGTCTCCCCGAGGAGGAGGAGGAGGAGGGGGAGGAGGAGGAGGAGGAGGAGGAGGAGGAGGCGGAGGAGGAGGAGGAGGAGGAGGAGGAGGAGGAGGAGGCGGAGGAGGAGGAGGGAGGAGGAGGAGGAGGAGGAGGAGGAGAGGAGGAGGAGGAGGAGGAGGGAGGAGGAGGAGGAGGAGGAGGAGGAGGAGGAGGAGGAGGAGAGAGGAGGAGGAGGAGGAAGGAGGAGGAGGAGGAGGAGGAGGAGGAGGAGCAGGAGGGAGGAGGAGGAGGAGGAGCGAGGAGGAGGAGGAGGGGGAGGAGGAGGAGGAGGGAAGAGGGAGGAGAAGGGAGGAGGAGGGAGGAGGGCCCTGTGGTGAGGCGGAAACCCCAGCACAGGGGGCCCCAGCGGGAGTTCTCCATGGGAGCGCGAAGCGCGTGAGGGGTGCGCCGAGAGGAGGCGGCGGAGCCATGCGGACCCTGGCTTTGGGGGCACCAGTGGGAGCTCCCTATGGGGAAGGCGAAACGTGTGATGGGGTGTGCTGACATGGCGCGGCGGAGCCATGCGGACCCTGGCTTTTGGGGCTTACCTTAGTGGGAGCCGCTGAACCTCGGCAGGCCTTTTGGTCCTGCCGGACCCCCCCACCTCCCACAGCTTCTGGCTTTGCAATAGGCTCTGCGCGTCCCCCGGTTCGCCCTCTCCTCCTCCTCCCCTCTCCTCCTACTCCTCCTCCTCTCTCCTTCTCCTCCTCCTCCTCCTCCTCCTCCTCCTCCTCCTCCTCCTCCTCCTCCTCCTCCTCCTCCTCCTCCTCTTTTCCTCTCTTCTTCCTCTTCCTCCACCACGGCGGCGACGGCGGCGGCTGGGGGATCATTATTTGCCGAGTATTGTTGGGAGCCAGTTAGGCACCAGAGAAACAAGTGGCACGCGTGCCATGGCTCTTGCACAAAACGGAGGGGGAAGGAGGAAGAAGAGGATGAGGAGGAAGAGGAGGAGTAGAAGGAGGAAGAGGAGAAAGAAGAAGAAAAAGAAGAAGAATAAGAAGAAGAATAAGAAGAAGAAGAAGAAGAGGAGAAGGAGGAGGAGGAGGAGGAAAGGGGGGGAGAGAGAGGGGACGAGAAATCGGAGAAGTCTCGGAGGGGCGGGACGGCGGGGGCGGTGCGACGCAGAAATAAAATGGTCGGAGCGGAGGGGGGGCGGGGGTGCACTGGGCGGGCGAGGACGGAGAACGATCGTGGGGGTGGGACGGTGGGGGCCGTGCGACGCGGAAGAAAACGTTCGTGGCGGCGGGAGCTGTGGGCGGGGCTCCTACTGGAGCGCTGGGGACGCGGGGGGGCTCGGGGTGACTGGGCTGGGCTCCTACCGGGACGCTGGGGACGCGGGGGGCGGGAGGGTGGGGGAGGTGGTGTGCGTCGCGACGCGGAATCACCTGGTCGGGGCGGAGGGGGCACTGGGCGGGGCTTGGGGAAGAGGGCCACGGGGCGGGGGTCCAACTGGGGCGCTGGGGACGGGGGGGGAAAGGGGAGGTGGTGGGCGGGGCTCCCGCTGGGGCGCTGGGACGCGGGGGGGCTCGGGGCAGAGAGTCACGGCGCGGGGGTCCCACTCTGGCGCTGGGGACGCGGGGGGGAGTGTGCGACGCGGAATAAAGCGTTCGTGGCGGAGGATGCAGTGGGCGGGGCTCCCGCTGGGGCGCTGGGGACGCGGGGGGGCTCGGGGCAGAGAGCCACGGCGCGGGGGTCCCACTCTGGCGCTGGGGACGCGGGGGGGGGAGGGAGGGGCGCGACGCGGAATAAAGTGGTCGGAGCTCTAGACACCCTGTGCAAGAGAATAAAGGTCTTCTGGCCTTCGGCAGATCCCGCCATCGTGCATGGGTTGTGGGTATGAAGCCTATTGGATGTTCGTTGGGATCTTGTGGGAAGCCTCTCGGGGCCTCCTGGAGGCAGTTTGGAGGCCTCTTGGGGTCCGTTTTGGGGCCCCTTGAGGCTTCTTCTGGGCCTCTGGGGAGCCTCTTGGGGCCTCTTGGGTGCCGTTTGGAGGTCTCTTGGGGCCTCCTGTGCGCATCTTGGGGCCTCCTGGGGGCCTCTTGGGGCGGAAGGCTCGAATTTTCGGCTCGTGTTCCCTCTCTTGGGCCTCTCTGGGGCCGTCTTGGAGCCCTCTTGGGCCGCCTTGGGGCGCATCTTGGGGCGCTCTTAGGCTGCCGTGGGGCCCTCTTGGAGGCCTCTTGGGCCGTTTTGGGGTGGTCTGGGGGGCCTATTGGGCCGTCTTGGAGCGTCGGAAAGCCGAAGAGGCGATAACGCCAAAATCCTTCAAAAGCCCGAGGAACAGCAATGACGTTTGCCTATTGGAGCCATCTTGGGAGTCCTCTTGGAGGCCTCTGGGGGGCGTCTTGAAGGCCTCATGGGCCGCCTTGGCGCCATCGTGAGCGTCTCGGGTCGACCTCTGGGCGTACCGGGGCCCTCTGAGGCCGTCTTGAAGGCCTCCTGGAGCATTCTTGGCCCGTCTTGGGGCCCTCTTGGCCCCGGAGAGGTCCTGCGGAACCGCGCGGGAAGCCCCGGCAGACTTGAGAATGTGAGGTCCAGGCCCTTGAAATATTCCTCGGGACTCAGGACACAGGCTCCGGGGTTTAGGGAAAGGACTTGAGAGCATGCCCACTCCGTGCCCAGAAGCATGGTAGCGGATTTACACACTATCGGGGGGCACTCAAGACCTATCGTGGCTCTGGGGCCACGAACAGTGTGTGCCGAAATGAGGCGGCGCGGGCGCCTCTGTTGGAGCGCCCGATTGGGCCGCGAGGCGTGTGAGCGGTGTGCCAAAACAGGTGCGACCGGGCCCTGCGGACCACCCTGCGGACCCTCCCGCTGGGGCCTTTGGGTGGAGCTCCATGTGGGACCACGAAGCGTGCGAGGGACGTGCCGAAATGTGAGGTAGGAGGGGGGAGCGGGAGGAGGGAGGAGGAGGAGGACTGACTTATTACGCGGGGCGCTGTTTGCTCAAAGCGAGGACCCAACACCACAGGATGGTTGGGAAAAGCATTATGATCACAACCTTGCCAGAACAAGGCCCGGCTCAGGGGCAACTGCATACTGATCCAGGACATGCAGTTGGGGGCATCCGTGGGGTCTTGTGGATGGTTGCACCTCCCTGCAGGGTGGCGGCCGGGGGGGGAGGGGGGCGGCAGAAGTGGGGAACGACATGCAGCCCTTCCCCCTCCGTCCTCCTCCACCCCTTCCCGATCCTGCCCGTCCTCCTTGTCGTCGGCCTCCTCGTTTCAGGAGGCGGAGTTCTAGGGAATGGCAGCCAACTCGCGCTTGTCGTCTTCGTCATTCGCGTTCCAGAATGGTATCGTCCTCCTCCTGCTCGTCCTCTTTCTCGCCATTCCGCCGGATCTCCACGGGCTCAGCACCCAGGGCTGGCTCCCTTTCGCTTCCGTTCCTGGGCGGCGGGTCTGACCTGGAGCCCGTGGTCTTTGCCAGCCAAAAGCCAGGATGAGTCGACACAAGCACATTTAGCAATCACCACTGATCCCATGAAGCCTCCACCGTACCGGGTGTTCCCCCCACCCCCGCTGGAATGGCTGAGTGGGGCTCAGAGTTCGAAGCATGTCCACTGCACAGGGAACCCTCTGGTGGATACCCCAGTGCCGTCTGGAACCATAAGGCCGGGGCTCGCATGTGGTTACAAAGGTGTGCGTGGCACGAAAGCAATATTATGTGTAGACGTGTTTGCAGAGTTGCACGATACAGATGCACATTCGTATACGTGATTCAGAATCGGGCATTGCAGAATTGGGCGTGATTGTAGGGCGGGGGTGGTTAAGCAATTGGCGCTGGCAGCGGCTCGTCTTGTGTTGCTTTAGTTTCCAAACGCTTGTCTTCACAGCGGTCTTGCCTTGCAGCGCCCAGTCCCCCAGCGACGACCGAGTGGGTGGTGTGTCCGTGTTGTGCCAGGAGCGGGAGGCGTAGGAGGTGTGGGTGGGAAACACGATGGGGGCGTTCGCTACGGAATAGTCCCATGAGACGCCAGACCCTGGAGGATTCCTTTATCCAATGAGGGCGGCGGTGGTAGCCACTGCCGATCCGCGATTGGATTTCCACTGGCTTCCAGACCCTGGCTTCCTTATCCAATCCTTCTTTATCCGATGCCCCCGCCGCGCCGTATTGAAAAGGCTTCACGCCTTTCTGGCTGGACTCGGCCCCGAGGAGGCGGAACTCGTCAGGGAGCGCGCGAGAGCGGCTGGCGCACAAGAGTATATTCACAGGGTGGCAGGGCGCAGGGCGCATCATTTCAGCTCGGCGTGACCATCCATCCTTACGAGGCGCCTGCGGATGGTGTCAGTTCAATCGGCGGCGAGCGAGGGGGTGAAGTGAGGAGGAGGAGGAGGAGGAGGAGGAGGGGGTGAAGTGAGAAGGAGAAGGCCTTCTCAGAAGGTGGCGAGACTTCGCAGAAGGCTCGCGCACTCTGGGGAGTTTGCCGTGTCTTCGGGGAAGGCTCAGAAGACTTGATTTCCGAACCTTCTGGGAAGGCACACCTCTTCTCACTTCCCCCCCTAGCTCGCCGCCAATGCCAGTCATTGCAACGCGCTTGTAATTATGGACGGCTGGGGAGGGGATGTTTATCCACGGACCTGAAGGACTTGGCTAAAGAAGACAAGTCCATTCTCTGGGCTGCCACTGACTACTGGGAGCGGAAGATGGGCGTGTTTGCCAACCACCCTGATTTGGAGGACGACGTATTCCAGTCAGCATGCGTGAGATGGGTCGAGGCTGGCGGCCACTCTGTGAATGATGTGGGCACGTTGTCAGCAGCACTCACGAGAGAATCTTGCAGGCTGTGAGACATGGACGTGGCGTTCATTTTGTCAATATGTTCGGTTGCACGGAATTGGCAGATACGTATCAGTTGCACGGACCAATGGTCACCAAGATGAGATCCCGTTTCTTGATTGCTTGGGGCATGACGGGCGTCATGGCCCCTGCTCCCCCCCCACCACCACCCCTATGACGTAACGCTCCCGCCCCCCAGTGCGCTCCGGGCACTGCCGCCGTGCGCATTGGGATCCGCGTAGGAACGCGCATAGGAGTCTGGTCCGCAGTCGTCGTCGTCGTCGTCGTCGTCGTCGTGTCGTCGTCGCTCGTCGCTCTTCGCTCGTCGCTCATCGTCGTCGTGCGCACGGACGCGGCTGGAGCCTGTTTTTATTCCGGGCCGATGACCGCAATCATCTGGAGGGGGGGAAGGGGGTCGATGACGTCACGTTTCGCGCCGGCTGCATCTGGGAATGCTTCGGAATGACGGAGGACGGGTAGCACCAGCATGTAGGTGGCGATCTGCACCACACCGCTTGTGTACACCACACCGCCTATGTGCACCACAGCAGCCGCGTGCAACACAGCGTCAGTTTGTGCCACCGTGCCTGCGGGCATGACAGCTATTGTGTACACCACAACGCCTGCGTACACCACACCAGCCGTGTGCAACACAGCACCAGTGTACACCACAATGCCTGCGTGCGTTGCTGTGCCTGAGTACGTACACCACGGCGCTCGTGTGCACCACAGCAACCGTGTGCAACACAGCACCATTGTTGTATACAGAATGTTAGAACGAATCCTTGCGACAAAATGAAGCGCTTGTGGATTCCAGAGAAAACAATAGAAAGGAAGCCGTATGGACAAAGGAGCGTCGCTGGAATCTGAGAGTCCTCCCGAATCTGCCCGCATCAACCTAACTCTTCCCATTTGCGCCCAGGATGCTCCAGCTAAATTGGCCGTCCGGAAACCAAGTTGACCGATTCAATCGACCATTCTGCGGTGCACGCTGAGATGCGCACGTGCGCTGTAGCGCAAACCCGCACGACACGGGGTAAGGAGGAGGAGGGGGAGGTGGAGGTGGAGGAGGAGGGAAGAGGGAAGAAGGTCGCATTCGATTATCAGCAATTTCCTGGCATGGCGTTTAGTTGTCCGCAGCAGATCCTCACGTACATTCTCCTTCTACTTCTCCTATGCACGCAGGCATCGTGGTGTACACCAGCGCTGCGTTGCACGCGGAAGCTGTGGTGTAGACAGGCGCTGTGGCGTGCACTGGCGCTGCGGTGCACGCAAGCATTGTGGTGTACACAGGCGTTGTGTTGCACATTGTTGCTGCGGTGTACACATGTACACGGGCGCTGTAGTGTACGCAAGCACTGTGGTGTACACAGGCGCTGCGTTGCACACGGCAGTTGCGGTGTACGCAAGCGTTGTGGTGTACACGTGCGTTGTGGTGCTTACGCGCGATGTGATGTGCACAGGCGCACTGGGGCAGATCGCCACCTACATGCTGCTCGCGTCATCGTCGTTGTCGTCATCGTCGTCGTCGTCGTCGTCGCGCGTCGCTCGTCGCGTCGTGCGCGCGGGCGCGGCTGTGTTGCCAGAGCCACACTGGGGGGGGGGCTGACGTCATACCCCCCGTCGCCCCCCCCCCCCCCCAATGACGCCCGTCATCGCCGAACATCAAAAATATCCCAGAGCCGGTTGTGCAGTTGCCCACGTTCACGAGACTTCTGAGTCGGACGTTCCACACCTGAAACATGATTCATACATGTTTCATAGTTACGCAAATAGATGTAAATACACCTAAGTGTGTATGCAAATATGTATGCACATATATACATATATATACACATATGTGTGTATAGAGATCTAGCTATATAGTTGTATACATATAGCGGCATGTAGACTGTATGTAAATATAGATAGATCGTTAGATCGGTGTGTATATATATATATGTGTGTGCAGAGCGATAGACAGCTATACATATATATATATATATATATATATATGTGTGTATGCATGTATGTATGTATGTATGTATGTATGTATGTATGTATGCATGCATGTATGTATGTATGTATGTATACACAGTTATATATATATATATACACGGCGTAGGCCTGCTGGGGGGAGGGGGGGGGCAAAACAAGGTGCCCCGAACCTCCGTGGAGGTGCCGGGCCCGAGATGGCCTCGGGACGCCCCTCGAGGCCGCCAATACGGCTCCAGCTGGCCGCCAGACATTCCCAGACAGCTCAAAATGCCCCAAAGAGGTCCCTACGAGTCTCCCAAGAGGTATCCGAGAGGCTCCCAGGATGTGAGAATCCTTCAAAATTGAAGACAAAACCGATGGTTTTTGAACATCTCACCTTTTCGCTTCCGATTGGCTTTTGAGGCTGCAGGATGGGCCATGAAAAGCTTCTGAGGAGCCCCAGAGAGCCCCAACACGGTCCACGGGAGCCCTCGGAACGCTTCAAGATTGCCCAGGGACGGCCCCAGATGGCCTTAAGGTGGCCTTCCAGGCCGCCAAGACAGCCCCAGATGGCTTCCAGGCGGCCCCAAACAGCCCAAGATGGCCCTAAGAGGCCCCCAAGCGGCCCCCAAGAGGCTCCTCTAAGAGGCGTCCTGGAAGCGTCCAGGAGCCCTCGAGGCCGCCAAGACAGCCCCAGAGGCCCCCAAGGCTGCCCAGACGGCGGAAGGTGGCCTCGAGCCCCCAGGGCAGGACCGGGACTTGGGGAACCCTTTAAGATGGGTCCAAGATGACCAAGATTCACCACCCAACAAACCACCCCAACCCAACCCGAAGGCCTCAATTTGCCTTCCATTTCCAGTGGGGGGGGGTCGCGGAACATGGCAAAAAAACACCTGGAACCCGCACCCCCCCCCAACCCTAAATTCAGGTCAAATTCGGGTCTTCGGGTTGGGTTGGGGTGGTCTGGTAGGTAGTCAGTCCTCAAGGCGGTTCTCGAGGCCGCCAAGATAAGCCCAGATGGCTCCATCACCACCCCAAGAGGCTTCCAAGTCAACCCAAGAGCCCGCGAGAGGCCCTCGAGAGGCTCCAAGGGGCCCCGAAGATGCTCCAAGAGGCTTTCGATGGACCTCTGACGCCTCTGGATGGCCGCCACCTCCCCCGAGAGAGCCCCCGAGGAGTTGGAGGAGGAGGAGGAGGAGGAGGAGGAGGAGGAGGAGGAGCTCGAGGAGGAGGGGGAGGAGAAAGAGGACGTGGAGGAGTGAGGGGGGGAGCGTTTGTATTTTTAGTGTTCGCATACCTCCTGGAATGGAGGCGGCTTTGGTCTGAGCCGCGCAAGAAATTATACTCTAGTCTCTCTGGGGGCCGCTCGTGGGACTCGTGAGGGCCGCTTGGGCATCTTTTGGGGGTCTCTTGAGGGCTTCGTGGAGGCTCCATGGCGGCCTCTTGGGCACCGCCGGGATGCTCCGGGGGCCACCTTGGTGCCGAGAGCGATCGGAGGGCCGCTCGGGGGGGCGCTTGGAGGGCCTCTCTTGGGCCGTCTTGGGGCCCTCTTGAAGCGCTTTTGGGCCGTCTTGGGTGCCACTTCGGCCAGCTTGAGAGCATCCTGGGTTTCTTGGGGCCCACTTGGGGGCCTCTACCGCGGCCTTGGGGCGCTCTTGGTGCCCTCTCGGAGCCGTCTGGGACACTGGTGGGCCAAAAATCAAGATGTCAAGCATATGCGCTTCCCCACGGGAATGGGACGATTTTGGCCGTTCGGAGCCCTCGAGGGGATGATCTTGGAGCCGTCTCGGGGCATCTTGGAGGCCGTCTTGAGGCCATCTTGTGCCGTCCTGGAACAGGCTGGAAGCCATTTGGGACGTCTGGAGCGTCCACCGTGGGTCCCGGGGCTTCGGGCAAGGCTCCATCGAGGCTGTGGGGACGCCCCGAGGAGGCTCCGAGAGGGGAGGGGGCACTTAGGGTACCCTGTGACGAACGAACAACACACACGCACACACACACACACACACACACACACACACACACACACACACACACACGCACACACGCACACACACACACACACACACACACACACACACGCACACACACACACACACACACACACACACACACACACACACACGCACGCACAACCACACAAAAGCACCCATACCAACAGGGGAGTCGGAGGGGGCTGTGGCTGCCTGCTGTCGGATGGGGGTTCCCGCTCGAACGGGAGCTTCCCCCGCGGCCCGGCAACCCGCACCCGTACACATAGCCGGGCCTCCTATTTCCGATCCCCCTATGGGTATGGGTGTGTGTGTGTTGTTTGCTCGTCGCCCCGGGTGCCCCTGGTGGTCTTTGGGCCTGGGCCTCCATGGGGCCGGTTTTCCGGGTTTCGGGTACATGAGAGATAGAGAAGGTGTTTAAATTCCTATGCTCATGCGTGTGTGCTCTCTCTCTCTCTCTCTCTCGCTCTTTCTCGTTCTCTCTCTCTCTCTCTCTCTCTCGGTTTCTCGCTCGTAATGTATGTGTCTCTATCTCTCTCTCTCTCTCTCTCCTTCTCTCTCTCTCTATCTCTCTCTCTCTCTCTCGCTCTGTTTATCTCCTTCTCGGCCGACCAACCGAGGCGGACTGGGATGTCGCGCGCCTGAAGCTGAACAAGCGGTGGTCCGCCAATGAACTCGCCGAGGTCGGAGCCAGCCAGCCTTTCGAACACGAGGGTGCCACAAGCCTATGATGAGAGCGTTCTGACGGGCAGGGGGTGGTCACTTCTTCGGCCGCTGGGCGTAAGACGAGGCCGCGACAGCTCGAGCCTCACTCGAAGTTGGGTCCGCTGCCCGGCCACTCGTGCGAAAGCTCTTGGCATCGCTCGGACGTGTGCATTTTCCCTTCGGCGAGGACCATCGAGGAGCATCCTTGATCATTTCTCGAAAAAACCACGCACGAAACCCAAAAAAAACAGGAAATGGACGTCCGAGCGATGGCCAGAGCTGCCCGCGTCAGGAGGCGCGTCGGCGCCCTCCTCTCCGGGCGGCGTGCCGCGCTGGGGCGGCCTGCGCGCGTCACAGGTCGGCGCGCCCCCCCCGCTTACACGTTGCATGTTCGTCCACCTCCCTGCGCAACGGCCCTCCTTATCGACGCTCCACTTCCTTCCTCCTCCTCCTCCTCCTCCTCCTCCTCCTCCTCCTCCTCCTCCTCCTCCCCCTCCCCCTCCTCATCCTCCTCATCCTCCTCCTTCGAGGAGGAGGAGGAGGAGGAGGAGGACGAGGAGGAAGAGGAGAAGGGGAAGGAGGGGGGACGCGAGGAGGACGAGGAGGATGGGGGACGCGAGTAGCAGGGGGAAGAGGAGGAGGAGGAGGAGGAGGGGCGGGGAGGAGCGGCGAGAAGGAGGACGAGGAGGAGGAGGAGGAGGAGTGCTCCGAAGCCGGGGCCCCCGCGAGGTCTGCCGGTGGATCACGCAGTACGGCGAGCAGCTTTGGCGGCCCGGGTGCAGGAAGCGGCCCCCGGCGTTTCCGACGCCGCCGGAGCCTCTGTCGAGCCCCCATCCAGCCTCCAGCGTCTTCCGTGAGCTTCCTGGCCCTGCTCCCCTCCCCACTCCATCCCCTCCTCTTAGGAGCCCTCTTCGCAGCCCCCCTCCCCCAGCGGCGGTCGACACTTCGCCGCTCCTTTTCGCTGCTCCTCCTCCTCCTCCTCCTCCTCCTCCTCCTCTCCTCCTCTCTCCTCCTCCTCCTCCTCTCTCCTCCCTCTTCCTCCTCCTCTTCTCCTCTCCCCTCCTCCTCCTCCTCCTCCTCCTCCTCCGCCTCCTCCTCCTCCTCCTCCCTCCTCCTCTCCTCCTCTCCTCCTACTCCTCCTCCTCCTCCTCTTCCTCCTCCTCCTCTCCTCCTCCTCCTCCTCTCCTCCTCCTCCTCCTACTCCTCCTCCTCTCTCCTCCTCCTCTCTCCTCCTCCTCCTCCTCCTCCTCCTCTCCTCCTCCTCCTCCTCCTCCTCCTCCTCCTCCTCCTCCCTCCTCCCCTCCTCCCCCTCCTCCCCTCCTCCCCTCTCCTCTCCTCCTCCTCCTCCTCCTCCTCCTCCTCTCATCCTCCTCTCCTCCTCCTCCTCCTCCTCCTCCTCCTCCTCCTCCTCCTCCTCTCTTCCTCTCTTTTACCTCATACAGAGGTTTTCCCTGTCGCACCCCGAGGCCGATCGAAAAGGCGGGCCGGGCATTTCCCCAGAGACTCATGTTACAAAAACAGGGTTCGCGAGGGCAGCAGGGAGATCGGGACACACCCAGCTGCACTTCGCTGCGCTGCATTCGCGCCCGCCCCCTGGTGTCCACAGGAGAGGCGTTTGCCCCTGGACGGCCTGTGCAGGCGACCAGAGCCTGGGAAAGAGGAGGAAGAGGGCGGAGGAGGAGGAGGAGGAGGAGGAGGAGGAGGAGGAGGAGGAGGAGGAGGAGGAGGAGGAGGAGGAGGAGGAGAAGGGGAGGAGGGGAGGAGGAGGAGGCGGAGGAGGAGGAGGAGGAGGAGGAGGAGGAGGAGGAGGAGGAGGAGGAGGAGGAGGAGGAGGGGAGGAGGAAGAGGAGGAGGAGGAGAAGGGGTGTAGGAGGAGGAGGAGAGAAGGAGGAGGAGGAGGAGGAGGAGGAGGAGGAGGGGAGGAGGAGGAGGAGGAGGAGGAGGAGGAGGAGGAGGAGGAGGAGGAGGAGGAGAGAGAGGGGGAGGAGGAGGAGGAGGAGGAGGAGGAGGGAGGAGGAGGAGGAGGGGAGGAGGAGGAGGAGGAGAAGAGGACGGGAGGAGGAGGAGGAGGAGGAGGAGGAGGAGGAGGAGGAGGAGGAGGAGAGGGGAGGGAGGAGGAGGAGGAGGAGGAGGAGGGAGGAGGAGGAGGAGGAGGAGGAGGAGGAGAGGGGAGGAGAGGAGGGGCAGAGGAAGAGGAGAGGGGAGGGGAGGGGAGCCGTCGCCTCGAGTGCTGGCGGACTGGACCGGCAAGTGGGGCTCTCTCGTGCGGGCGCCTTCGCAGGCAAGCGGCGCGGCAGAAGATGGCAGCCACCCTCCACCCATCAGGCAGCGGCTCCAGAGGGCATTCGTCGTCGTGGCAGGGCCCCTTCTTCGGTGCCCTCCTCGCGGTCGCGTTCGTCCTCCGGGTGTTGAGCAAGCCCCTTCCCCCTTGGCCCCTGGCGTTCTGGTCGTCAAGCGTGACGCTTGACGACCAGAACGCCAGGGGCTGCAGGCACTTGGCACCTTCCCCCTTCCGAGGTTCCTGTACGTGGAGACGGCGAACCACGGCAGACAGGACAAGCTGTCCCAGGGCATCGCTCTGGGGCCGTTCACTCGGATGCTGGACGAGGCCGGCATCTTCGAGGCGCATCCGTCTGTGGCCAGGCGCCCGTTGTTCTTGCCGTTTCTTGGGGTTGCAGCGGGCCGCCGTGCCCGCTGAGCATCGAAGAACAAAACAACGCCACACCAAAAAAAAATCTGGCTCTCTGCGCGGAGTTCTTGGATCCGCGCTGGGCCCCCCGGGCGGCGCCTCTGGCGCCGCCCTGGCGCGCTCTGCGCGCCAGGGAGGGGGGCCAGCGCAGATCCAAGAAATCCGCGCGGACCGCCAAACTGTTTCTGTTTATGTTTTTTCGTCTTCTAGAGCAGGGGGGGAGCTGGAGGAGGGAGGCGGAGGAGGAGGAAGGAGAGGGAGGAGAAAGAAGAGAAGCAGGAGGATCGCACGGGGCTGGGACGAGGATAATTAAATCCGCTCCAGAGCGTTCTGAAACGTTATCAGAGCATTCCAGAACTCCCTGAGAAGGCCGCGGCGCCCGAGACATCCTCCAGAGCTGCCGGATCTCAGAGATTCTCGATGTATCTTCACTCGATGTTACCCTCGTCTTGGTTTCGTCTTAGAGGAGGAGCCCAGCTGACTTGGAAGGGCAGCGGTAAACACGTGACAGTAGATGGACAATATATTCGAACCCTTACACATTCGATGGAAATTCTAAATCATCCCCACGCCCCCGACATCAATGTTGATCTCAGTAAAGGCAGCGCTTTGGGTTCGAATATTTCTGTCCACTCACGCCCCCCCCGCCGCCACGCCATGAATGTTATTTCCGGAGGGTCTGGGGGGCATCTTGGGACACAGGGTTCGAATGTAATGTCCATGTACGGGATCTCCCAGATTCGTCAGGACGGGTCACAGTGATCCTCCGCGCTCTCCTCTGTGGCCTCCCCAAGCCTCTGCGGTTGTGGCCTGGTGGGAGGCTCCGTGGGGAGGAGAGGAGGCGGAGGACGAGGAGGACGAGGAGGAGGAGGAGGAGGAGGAGGAGGAGGAGGAGGAGGAGGAGGAGGAGAGGGAGGAGGAGGAGGAGGAGGAGGAGGAGGAGGAGGAGGAGGAGGAGGAGATGTTTGGCCTCAGGGGGGACGCTTTGCTCGAGATATCCTCGTGAGCACCGTTGGTTTGGCAAGCGGATGCGTTAATGAATCTCATTGTCAAAGTTTCTCCGACAGCCTCGCACCAGAAGTGCCACGTCGAATTCTGGACTGACAGGACGCCAGCAAGTGCCACCAGTCAAGTATCCGTAGACTTCTCTTCTCCATCCACATACGCAATATCCAGGAAAGCTCCGGTTCGGTTCGGTCCGGTTCGGTTCCGAAGTGCCTCCGGTCCAGTTCGGTGTGGTTCGGCTCGGTGTCGTAATCCTTCCGCTTCGGTTCGGCTCGGTTCGGTTCGTCACATGTTTGTTTCCGGTTCGGTCCGGTTCCGGTTTCTGCCAGGTCGCCTAGCAGTGGCCCAGCGTCCGAGACAGGAGAAGGGCCCCGCCCCCGCCACGGGCAGCGTCGTCGTTGCTCGTCGCTGCCCCCTTGCGACGGGCCCCCCGCGGGGGAGGGGGCCGTGGGCCCCCCGCGAGGGAGGGGCCACGGGGGCGGCGAAGGGCCCCGCGGGGGGGAGGGGTCACAGGGGGCCCGCGGTGGAGGGGTCGCAGGGGGTCCCGCGAGGAAGGGTCCCGCGGGGGAGGGGTCACGGGGGCCCCGCGGGGGGGAGCTCGGGGGGGGCCGCAGGGGGGGGGGGGGTCCACGAGGGCGGCGAAAGGCCCCGCGGGGGGATGAGTCACGGGGGCGCCCCGCGGGGGAGGGGTCACGGGGGCCTCGCGGGGGAGAGGTCACAGGGGTCACGGGGGCCCCGCGGGGGAGGAGGGGTCGCAGGGGCTCCGCGGGGGAGGGGCGACGGGGGGTCCGCGGGGGAGGGGTGACGGGGCTCGCAGGGGGGAGGGGTCACGGGGACACCGTGTGTCTCTCAACGATCGTCGTCCCCCAGTGTTGCAGCAATCGCGACGAGGAGGAAACGGAGAGCAGAATTTAGGGAGGCGTCGGACCTGCCAGAGGACCCGCCCTGGTGCAACGCACCGGGCGCACATTGAATGCTCATTCGGCATCCACGGCTGCAGCTGAGTTGTGTCAGACGGGTTCGGTCATCTCCGCGCTGCTCGTAGACCCTCGCCGTGCATCAAAAAAAGCTGCCAGGGACGCATTCGATCTGCTGTTCGTCACCTGCAAGTCTACCCCTCACTCGGTCGAGCAGGTTGGCACCGTGCTGTGCCCGGACAGCGGGGCAGTGCCATCAGGGGGGGGAGGGGAAAATTGAAGTGGTCCAGGCGTGCCACAGCGTGTTCAGGGAGGGGGCGAGGGAGAGAAGATGAGTCGGCATGGTTGCTCTCAGTATTCTGTAGCTCCCTGCTGAGCCAGGCCAGCCGAACTCGAAGGGTCGCTCGTGATGTCGCCGAGTCGTTGGCTGTTACACTCCCGACCCGCTCAGCTTCAGGCGGGGAAAAACACACACAGACACAATGAATCGTCGATTCCCCAGAAAATATGGGAAAATATGGGAAGTGGGGGGAAGACAAAAACCCAGAAAATATTGGAAAACATGGAGAATCTTTGTATTACCTAACAGCAAAGACTGATAGGTTTCTAGTGGTCTCAAAAGAGAGAGCATCATGACTCCCCAGGGGGGTCTGGGCAGATGCCGGACAGTTGCCGGACGGGTGCCGCGGGAATCCAGGGATTTTCTTTAAACCAACAGTTACGCACTTCGTGGTCTTCGAGTTCCCAGAACTCCATTCCTGGGCATGATTTTGAATGCCCGGAGCCAACTGTAGGCCACTTCGTGGTCTTCGAGCTCCCAGAACTCCATTCCTGGGCATGATTTTGAATGCCCGGAGCCAACTCTAGGCCACTTCGTGGTCTTCGAGTTCCCAGAACTCAATTCCTGGGCATGATTTTGAATGCCCGGAGCCAACTGTAGGCCACTTCGTTTGGGCGTTGCGTAATGGGGGGGTCATAAATGGGGGGGTGGCGAGCGTGGTCCGAAAAGGTACCCAAACCCTAAACGAGCCCCCTGAGGCTCCAGAGGGGCCCGAAAGGGGCACGAAAGGGGACGTTTTTGACCCCCCCATTTGATTAAGCAACCAATTGCTTCGTGTTCTTCGAGTTCCCAGAACTCCATTCCTGGGCATGATTTTGAATGCCCGAGCCAACTGTAGGCCACTTCGTGGTCTTCGAGTTCCCAGAACTCCATTCCTGGGCATGATTTTGAATGCCCGGAGCCAACTGTAGGCCACTTCGTGGTCTTCGAGTTCCCAGAACTCCATTCCTGGGCATGATTTTGAATGCCCGGAGCCAACTGTAGGCCACTTCGTGGTCTTCGAGTTCCCAGAACTCCATTCCTGGGCATGATTTTGAATGCCCGGAGCCAACTGTAGGCCACTTCGTGTTCTTCGAGTTCCCAGAACTCCATTCCCGGGCCACATTTTGAATGCTGAGGCAGGCTGATGAGGCAGGCTGAGGCTGAGGCAGGCTGAGGCTGAGGCCGAGGCTGAAGGCAGACTGAGGCTGAGGCTGAAGCAGGCTGAGGCTGAGGCTGAGGCAGGCTGAGGCTGAGGCTGAGGCAGGCTGATGCTGAGGCAGGCTGAGGCTGAGGCTGAGGCTGATGCAGGCTGAGGCTGAGGCAGGCTGAGGCTGAGGCCGAGGCTGAAGGCAGACTGAGGCTGAGGCTGAAGCAGGCTGAGGCTGAGGCTGAGGCAGGCTGAGGCTGAGGCTGAGGCTGAGGCAGGCTGATGCTGAGGCAGGCTGAGGGAGGCTGAGGCTGAGGCTGATGCAGGCTGAGGCTGGCAGGCTGAGGCTGAGCAGACTGAGGCTGAGGCTGAAGCAGGCTGAGGCTGCAGGCTGAGGCTGAGGCTGAGGCAGGCTGATGCTGAGGCTGAGGCTGAGGCTGAGGCTGAGGCTGCAGGCTGAGGCTGCAGGCTGAGGCTGAGCGAGGCTGAAGGCTGAGGCTGAGGCTGAGGCTGAGCTGAGGCTGATGCTGAGGCTAGGCTGAGGCTGAGGCTGAGGCTGATGCAGGCTGAGGCTGAGGCAGGCTGAGGCTGAGGCCGAGGCTGAGGCAGCTGAGGCTGAGGCTGAGGCTGAGGCTGAGGCTGAGGCTGAGGCTGAGGCTGAGGCTGAGGCTGAGGCTGAGGCTGAGGCAGGCTGATGCTGAGGCAGGCTGAGGCTGAGGCTGAGGCTGATGCAGTCTGAGGCTGAGGCAGGCTGAGGCCGAGGCCGATGGCAGACTGAGGCTGAGGCTGAAACAGGCTGAGGCTGAGGCTGAGGCAGGCTGAGGCTGAGGCTGAGCCAGGCTGATGCGGAGGCAGGCTGAGGCTGAGACTGAGGCTGATGCAGGGTGAGGCTGAGGCTGAGGCCGAGGCTGAAGGCAGACTGATGCTGAGGCTGAAGCAGGCTGAGGCTGAGGCTGAGGCAGGCTGAGGCTGAGGCAGGCTGAGGCTGAGGCTGAGGCAGGCTGAGGCTGAGGCTGTGACTGCGACTGCCGTTGCCACTGCGACTGTCATCGCGAATGCGACTACGACTGCGAAAACAGCAGACTTCTACAACTGGATTCTCATCTGAATCTTAAGGGGAATGCTTCCAGGTATGCTCCTACACATCGCTGTTAGGTTGCTTTGCCGGGATAATGTGTGTATGTATTTGTGTGTCCCAGGGCCCTTTCACAGTTGCCAGCCGATTATCCAGCAGGCAGTTCGAGGAGGAGGTGGGCGGCGAGGAGGGGGGACAGTGGTGGGCTGGCAGGTTGCTACGGTCATGCTTGTTTGGATGTGTTGGCTCGTCGAAGGAACCGGCTGACTTGTCACAGAGAGTCAGATTGACGATCGCACACGCGCGGGTCCAGTACCTCAGGGGACCCCTCATTTCCAACGGTCCGCACTGGTCACAAGACGCTTTCAGTATGGGGTTCATCCACAGATCAGCTGCGATTGGCGCAATTGGCGCATGCCGGGCTTTCTGCTGGAGGTCGCAGTATCATGGGCATGGAGCTTTCTCTATCGCTGGAAGGTGTTCCTTCAGTGGGCTTCTGCCTTGTATCCACGTGCACCTTGTTCCTGGAACACCTCCCATTGCTCCTGTTCGCATCTATGTGGGGATCGTTCGCATACTGCCCGGGGCCAGGAGGGTCACAGTTCTTATCGAAGCGATTTTGCCGAATTGGCCAGCACCGATGGTGGGGTCAGGGGGGGGCGTCGATTGGCGGCGCATGGCCAGCGGTCTGAAGCATAGCCATCATCCTTCTAAGATCTGGGCAGCCTTCAGATTACAAGTCCCATCTGACCTCCAGGCCTCCAGGCTGGCATCTGACCTCCAGGCCTCCAGGCTGGCATGCTGTCGGCGAATTTGGTCTGCGATTCGCCGAATGGGTTGGACAGCGCAGTTGGGCATCGCTGTATGCTCTGAGCGCGGCCCGACAGGACGGCATCGTGCGGTGGCAGTTCTTGGAGGCCATCGCGAGGCTGGGCGAGTACTGCGCCTTCCCGGACGAGACGATTGCGGAAGGCCGCCGCTCCTGTTGCTTTTGCTGGGATTCCACCAAGAAACAATGGACCGAGGCCCTGCGTGGAGCAGGGAGGATGCCTTCCCCCATGGGGCCCTCACAGCGTGCGCTCTGGTGCCAGCTGCCTGGTTTTAGCTGCAACCACTGATTGCAGCTGATTGGTTGTTTGTCGCACTGCCTGGTTTGAGCTGTGACCGCTTAGATTGCCACCGAGTCGTGTAATCTACGTGTGTCGTTGCGCTGTGATTGTATAGTTGTTCAGTGCCGAATTTCTCACTACGCAAAAACATCGGCCTTGCAGAAGTTTCGTCACAAGTTGAGATTTGATGTTATTGCGTTGGCAGGGCAGGATCCCGCCCGGTAGGATGTCCCAAATCGTTGTATTGATTTGCGTCGGGATGTGAAACTACCCTTACTTTATTTATTTATATATATGCGTACATGTATGTACATATATATATGTGATAATAATAACAATAAGAATTATGATAGGAGATGCCGGATATTTGATCCGGCCGCTCTTCCAGTCCGCTAGGATTCTAAGTGGGGAAAGGAGGGGGCAGTTTGGCGCGGTCGGGACAGGGGTCAGCCTTCGCCCGCCCGCTCGCGCGGAAGTAACAGAACAAACTTGCATCATCTTGATGCCCCCATAAAACGTGACGAACTTATGTAACGGCGTAGCGGAATTATGGGCACCGCTTGTCGAGCATCGAGCGCTTGGCAACCCAGCACGGCAGGCGAAGTTTTCCTTATCTGGCGTAGCAGGCGAAGCCTTTGTTCATCCGGCGTGGCAGACGAAGCCGCCGCGAGCGTGCGCAGGAGGGCAATAAGGGCGCGCTTCGCCAGGTCCAGCGCGGACGCCACCCCAGGTCGGAAGTCGCGGCCAAGTCGGCGCCGCTGGGCCAGAGGCCGCGGCCATGGCGGCGATGGCGGATGATGCGTGCGTGGGGGTGTGCGATGACATGGAACGAGGAATGATGTTTCGTCGCCATCGTGAATCCCTCATTGGCGAAACAGCGGTTTCGGCACAAATTGAGATTCAAAGTCTTGCGTTGGCAGGGGAGGATCCCGCCCGGCGGGAGTTGTAAAAGTGCGTGTTGTTGCGTCGGGATGCTCAAATACCCCGTTGTTTGATGTATCTATACATATACACGGATAACAGAGGGAAATCCCAGATTTAGAGATCGTGGATCTTTGATCCGACCGCTCTTGACCCAGCCCGCTAGGACTCTATCGGGCCGGACGAAAGGGGGGGATTGGGAAAGGGGGGGTTACGAAATTTGCTGCATGCCGCTGGTTTCGGCCCCACCGAGGAGCCCATGCCGCGATACATAGCCGCCTCAGGCACCAGGAGGCGCCGGGAAAATCAGCTACGCAAGCTGATTCTCAACCCCCCCCTTTGATATCCCCCCCCTTTCGACGGCCCGATTCTAAGGGGGGAAGGGGGGGCAGCTTCGCGCGGACAGGACAGGGGTCAGCCCTCGTCCGCCCGCTCGCACGGAAGTAACGGACGAAACCTGAATCATCTTGACGTCCCCGTAGCACGCGACGAACTGCTGTTGTGCCGTAGTGCTGTGCCAGGCGCCGCGCGGCGAGCATCGAGTGCCTGGTAACCTGGCGCGGCGCGAAGTCTTCCTTATCTGGCGTGGCAGGCGGAGCTTTTGTTCATCCGGCGTGGCTTGCGAAGCCGCCGCGAGCTTGCGCAAGGGGGCAACGAGGGCGCGGCTCCCCCGGCCCAGCGCGGACGCCTCCCCAGGTCGTAGGTCGCGGCCAAGTCGGCGCTTCTGGGCCAGAGGCCGCGGCCATGGCGGCAATGGCAGATGATGCGTGAGGGCGAGCGTGATGACATGGAACGATGAATGATGAATGATAATGCGTCGCCTTCGAAGATCTCTCATCGGCTTTACAAAAGTTCCGACATGAGTTGAGATGTCATATTCTTGCTTTGGCGGGGCAGGATCCCGTCTGGTGGGATTTCTAAAATCATGTTTTTGCGCGTCGATATTTGCCCCGACCGCTCTTGGCCTAGTCCGTTAGGATTCTAGGGAGGAGAAGGGGGGCAGCTTGGCGCGGTCGGGACAGGGGTCAGCTTTCGCCCGCCCGCTCGCGCAGAAGCAACGGACGAAACCTGCATCATCTTGACGCCCCCATAAAATGTGACAAACTCTTGTAACGGCGTAGCGGTATTTCAGGCGCCGCGCGGCGAGCATCGAGTGCCTGGTAATCCGGCGCGGCAGGCGAAGCCTTTTTTTTCTGGCGTAGCAGGCGAAGCCTTTGTTCATCCGGCGTGGCAGGCGAAGCCGCCGCGAGCGTGCGCAAGGGGGCAACGAGGGCGCAGTTCCCCCGGCCCAGCGCAGACACCACCCCAGGTCGGAGGTCGCGGCCAAGTCGGCGCTTCTGGGCCAGAGGCCGCGGCCATGGCGGCGATGGCGGATGATGCGTGAGGGCGAGCGCGATGACATGGAACGAGGAATGATGATGCGTCGCCATCGCGGATCCCTCATCGGCGTTACAAGAAATTCGGCATACATTGAGATTTATACATCTTGCGTTGGCAGGGCAGGATCCCGCCCGGTGGGGGTTCGAAAATCGTGTTGTTGTTCTCCTGTGCGTGGGGATGTCTAAATACCACGTCATTGATTTAGTATGTACATAGGATATGCACGTATATCAAGTGTATACATCTATACATATATGTGAAAGTGTATATGTATTATCTATATTTGGGTGTACAAAGAGTGGAATTCCTGGAGTTTGAAATCCTGAATATTTGATCCGGCCGCTCTCGACCCAGTCCGTCAGGATTCTAGGAGGACAAGGTGGGCAGCTTGGCGCGGTCGGGACAGGGGTCAGCCTTCGCCCGCCCGCTCGCGCGGAAATGACGGAAAAAACCGCGTCATCTTGACGCTCCTATAAAACATGACGAATTTATGTACAGGCGTAATAGTGCGTAAGCCTGAAGTATCTCCGCATTTGACTCCAGCGGAGTTGGAGACACGTACTGCGCACACCCAAGCGCTGCGCGCTGCTCTTTTGCTCTGTGCATGCGCTTTTTGACGCAGACGTCGAGCAGGTCTACTCGCGGAAGTGATGCGGAGCTGGACGTTCGCACGAGCACCCGTAGCGGTGTTGTTGGCGCAAGAAGTTTGCGTGAGATTGCGTGTGGCCACAGACTCGATATAGTTGTTTAAACCCTTTGGCGACAGCCAGCGTGACGGGGGGGGTCGGCAGCAAATCATGGGAGCCCCCTTTGTGTCCTCGCAATTCCATCTTCGGAACGCGCAATCGTGCGCTCACGTGCGGCAGTCGGTTTGAATGCGCCGATCTGGCGCCGACGACCGTCGACTTAGCGTCGATCTAGCGTCGATGAGCGTCGATTCGCAGGAGCCAGCGAGACGGTGTGGGAGGCGTTGCCACAGACGGAGAAGGGGGGGAGGGGGAGGGGGCCAGTCACGCCGCGAGCCGCGCCGGCGCCGCATGGGAATGCTCAGGAACGGTTCATTCGACCAGACGTAAGAGTGACCTTTCGCCGGAGTGACCTTTGGTGCGGGCACAGATGGGTCCCCAGATGGCTGAAAACGAAGCAGCGGCAGCTGCCTGCGCGCCCGGGTTTGGTCCCCCCGCGGCCCCCCAAAAGTCGCGCACCAAAGGCTAGGTCACTCCTCTTACCCAAGGTCACGCTTGCGCATAGCCGATTTATTTCAGGAAGGAAAAAACACACAGACACAAGTAATCCTCGATCCCCAAGAAAATATGAGAAAAATATGGGAAGTGGGGGGGAAGACAGAAACCCAGAAAATATGGGAAAATATGGGGAATCCTTTTATTTGTGTGTATTTATTTGTGTGTCCTGGGGCCCCTTCAGTATAGCCGATGTATTCCCGAACGGGGAGACGGTTACGGCAGTCCCTCCGCCCAGGGCATCCACGGGAGGAGCCCCACACCCCACGGAGGAGCCGCGGGGAAGCAGGGGAGGCACGGGGAGGTGGCACGGGCGCGGCAGGGTCTCTTCCGGAGGCCCCAGAGGGGGAGGAGGCGGAGGAGGAGGAGGAGGAGGAGGAGGAGGAGGAGGAGGAGGAGGAGGAGGAGGAGGAGGAGGAGGAGGAGGAGGAGGAGGGGGGAGGAAGGAGGAGGAGGAGGAGGAGGGAGGAGGAGGAGGAGGAGGAGGAGGCGGAGGAGGAGGAGGAGGAGGAGGAGGAGGAGGCGGAGGAGGAGGCGGAGGGAGGAGGAGGAGGAGGAGGAGGAGGAGGAGGAGGAGGAGGAGGAGGAGGAGGAGGGAGGAGGAGGGGGGGGGGAGTGACGTAAGACATGTGCCCTGGCGTATTGGGGGTCCCCTCTTCGTCGCGTCCCCCCCCCGCCCTCCAAAGAACTGCAGATGCGGAAGGCGGGTGGGAATGGAAGGCCTATCAAGATGGAGGACCAGAGAGGAAGCCGGAATGGAGAACGGTGAAGTAGGCAGGCAGGCAGACGACTTCGGAGGACGGTGCGGGTGACATAGGACCAATTGAAAGGTTCGGGTAAGGATTATCGCAGTAGGAAGGAAGACAGGCGGACGATTATGGAGGAGCGGGTGGTGATGATGGTGATGATGATGATGATGATGATGATGATGATGATGATGATGATGAGGAGGAGGAGGAGGAGGAGGAGGAGGAGAAGGAGGAGGAGGGTTAAGAAGAACGGCAGGGACGGTTGGGCGAGGTAGAGGAGAGAGACGAGGGGAGACAGAACGTGACAGTGCCAAGGGAAAGTACACGGCATGGGGGCACGAAAAGAAGCAAGACAGAGAGGAAGAGGAGGAGGAGGACGAGGAGGAAGAAAGGAGGAGGAGGAAGAAGAAAAGGAGGAGGAGGAGGAGGAGGAAGAAAAGGAGGAGGAGGAGGAGGAGGAGGAGGAGGAGGAGTTGGTGGATGGAGGAGGTGGACACGGGGCACGGGGCGGGGAGGGAGGCAGACGGCGGCGGTGGCGGCAGGTGGAGGCGGAGGAGGAGGAGGAGGAGGGGAGGAGGAGGAGGGGCAAGGAGGAGGGCGGACTGAGAGGAGAGGGGGAGCGCGGAGGAGCAGGAGGAGCGGAGCAGGAGGAGGGGCAGGAGAACGACGCGGGGGGGGACCGGGGTATGGGGAGGGCGGGGGAGGACGAGGGGAAGGTGAAGGAAGAGAGAGGAGGACGAGGACAAGGAGGAGGAGGAAGAGAGAGGAGGAGGAGGAGGGAGGAGGAGGAGGAGGAGGAGGAGGAGGAGGGGAGGAGGTCGACGACGGATAATGGACGATGGTGAGGAGAAGGACGAGGATGGAGGATGCGGAGGAGGCAGGAGGAGGAAGAGGAGGCAGGAGAGCGAGACAGGAGGAGGAGGAGGCAGGAGAGGGAGGACGGAGGAGGAGGAGGAGGAGGAGGAGGAGGAGGAGGACCAGGAGGAAGAAGGGAGCTCTGCCGAGGCGGGCGGGAGGGGGGGACCCCCCGCCGCAGCCACGGGGCCGCATCATCGAGATGCACCTGGCGCCCCTGGGGGAGCCGCTCAGCCGCTCAGGGCCGACCTGCAGCTGTTCCGGGGCGTGCTCTTCACGGAGCCGGGCTCCTCCTCCTCCTCTCCTCTCCTCCTCCTCCTCCTCCTCCTCCTCCTCCCTCCTCTCTCCTCCTCCTCCCCTCTCCCCCCTCCCTCCCCCTCCCCCCTCCCCCTCCCCCCCCCCCTCCCCCTCCTCCCCTTTCCTCTTCTTCCTCATCCTCCTCCCCCCCTGCTGGCCTGCTGGGCTTCGTCTCAAGCAGAGGTGAAGCGTCCTGGCTTGCAGATGGGCCCACGAAAGGATGCTCTCACAACCTGTGCAGCGGCGTGCACGACATGTTCTGAGAGCGTGTCTGGCTGAGGCAGCACTGCTTCATGAGCCATCGGCTCTGACTGCGAGCCATCGGCTCTGCGCTCTAAGAAGACGGTTCTTGCTCCTACAAGCCTCGTCACAAATATCCAGAAATGGAAGTTGAAATCCTGGGGCACGATACTTCCGGGCACTTGTCAGAAAGCGCGTTCTTCAGTGCTGAGAGGGTGGGGCCGGTTTTTGGACAACACCGCGTCCGAGGCAACAGGAATCCGTCAGCATCGACGTGGGCGGCGTCTTCCACTTCTGCGCGGTGGCCGCGGACGGCGGCGCGTTCCTCCAGCGCGGAGGCTCCGGGCTTCGTGGCGTGCCTGGGGGTTGGCGCCGCGCGGGGCGGCGCGGTGCTCGCATGGGGGCCTCGCTGTAGCCGTCGACCGTCCTGGACGCTGTGTAGACCTGAGCCCCAGCATACAGCTACTTTATTAGTGAATTTAATTGGTTTTAGGGTTTTAACAAATGGTCGCAGCCACGCAGGGGGCGTGCGTAGCGACGCCCCAAATGCTCGGTCTCCAGTACTTTTACGTGGCGGCGCCCCCGCAGGCACGCAGAGGGCACGCGTGGCGACGGGGGCGTCGCCACGCAGAGCTTCCAAAGACCAAACATGTTGAAAACCAAGTGTTTCCACTACGAAAGTATGCCTCTGCATCCTGTGGTCAGCTGCTGGCGCGCGACCTGAGCCTGCGAGCTCTGCTCCACGACTCCTCTGCAGGCCAGCGCGGTGCCCGCCTCGGCGCGGCTGCCCTCGCTGGGGCTGCGCGCGAGCCCGCGGCGCGGTTCGCCGCACCTGCCCAGCGTCGCGGCGAGTGGGCGCTGTGGCAAGCGCGGGGCCTTCCACCAGGGGGGCCAGAGCCCCGTCGCGAGGCACCACTTGAGGCGCCAAATGCTGGGCGCGACCACCGCGGACACCGGTATCGATGAGCACCTCTTCCTCTCGGAACGTTTTGAGCCTCGCTCTTGCGGCTTTTTCCCTCACGCATTCGCCTGCTGGCCAAGTGGCCTCATCATCGTGTTGATGTTTGTTCTTGCGTGCTGCCTGTTAGGAAACGCACAAGATTGCTCTTCTTGAACGCTGGCAACCCTAACGCGGATAGATTCACATGCTATGGACAGCGTGGTCGGTGTCAGTTTTCTGATAAGCCTCACCCCCACATCGGCGAAAATATGCATGGAGCTTGGGTGTCCAAGCTGGCGGCGCCTTATCCCCCTACCATTGCAGAGCTCATAGCTAATACGTTGGACAAGTCAGTCCATAGTTCGGCAGTGGCGCGCTTAAGTAGATTGCAACCGCGCCAGCTCACTGGTGCTTTATGGCCGTGGAAAATTGGGTTTAAATCCGGTGTCTCGGCAACCAGAGGAGCATCAGCAGGAGGATGATGATGAGGAGGAGGAGGAGGAGGAGCAGGAGCAGGAGGGGGATAGCGTGAGCTAAACATCTCCAGCCGCCCGCGTGCACGGGTGCGTCGAAGCACCCGCTTCACCAGAGTCCCTCCCTCCCCCCTCCCCTTTCCGCCTCCTCGTCGTCGCCGTTCCTTTTCGCCTGCCGCTCTCGCCAGAGCCCCTGGACGGCATGCACACGTGAGCGTTTCTTATTCATTCCTTTGCCGATCGGCGCGCCCCCCCCCCCTGGAGTAGATCTTGGTTGTTCTTGGCGCTTGTTTCGAGCAGGTGGAGTCTACCCCATAGGACGCACGGCCCCAAAAAGTCGCACTCAGCAGAGGTCTAAGGCCATACCCCCCCCTTTCCGCCCAATGTCGAAACGCCGTAAAAAAAAGTGTTCACCACTCGAGGAGCAAGGAGGAGGAACGCGTCTTGAGGAGCCCAGATGTCTGGCGGCCCGACAGGGTCGCCTAGAGGGGCCGCTCCTGGGCCGCGGGGCCGTCAAAGAATTACACATAAGAATATCCCAATCAGTGGATGGTTTGATGAGATCGATGGTGAGATCGGTTGAGTGAGATGAATAGTGAGATCGATCATGGGATCGAACATGAATCGTGGGACCGATCAGGAGGTCGACAAGGAGATCGACCGGGAACCCGGGAACCCGGAACCCACCGAAATCGGCCCGGAACCAGGGAGCCCAGCCGGCTACCAAGGTCGGCTGGAAATTTCCTCCCAATTTTTCGATATCCGCCAGGGCCCTTCCAGTGCAAGCACTGATTGAGGAAAATCGCCCAGTCTCATGCGACGGTAGAGGGAAACAATTAGTGAGCACCCCCTTTGTCCCCCAAACTCAAAGTTGGCACGCGCGGGGGGAGACTGCGGTCGCGGTGCAACCCATCAGACCCGCCACCAACTTCGAATATTGGGGGGAGGGCGAGGCGTTCGCAGAGGAATATTCGAAAATAGTCAAACAAATATCAGGGGGACGATTAAAAAAACAAAAAAAACAAAAACAAAACAAAAAAAAAAAAAAAATGAGCATTTGGGGGATTTTTCGCCCGAAATCCCCCTGTAGGGGGACACGCCCGACTTAACCCAAGGAGTACATCAACGACTTCTTCAAGGGCGTCGAGAACGAGCTCCAGACGATCTTCCAGTTCTTCGCCAACTCTCTGGCGTGGAACAAGCCCACGGTCGAGTTCGGCAAGAGCGCGGTCTACGCCGAGAGGGCGAAGAAGCAGAGGCAGGACAATGCGGAGACCCTGAGCGCGCAGGAGTGGATGGCGTTCCTGCACGAGGGCGCTTTCTTCGACGGCCGGTTCTCAGGAGGGGAAAAAACACTCAGACGCAATGAACCGTCGATTCCCCGGAAAATATAAAAATATGGGAAGTGGGGGGGAAGACAGAAACCCCAGAAAGTATTGGAAACTATGGGGAATCCGGTTCTTTGTGTCTGTTTCTTTGTGTGTGTCCCAGCTTCCCTTCAGGTTCCCCGAGCGGCTTGCCCTCGAGGCCTTCTCGATCGGCGCCCACGTGAGCAAGGAGGAGGCCGTCAGCAGGGCCCACCTGGAGCTGAGCTTTGCGGAGTTCATGATGGCGCTCGCCTGGGTGATCTACTGCAGGGCCGGGTGCCGCACGGAGTCCGTGGGGCGGTTCGCGGTGGGCCTCCAGGAGGCCTTCGGGCCTCCGCTGGTCAGCCTGCACAAGCGGGTCGTCGCGTGGCTGGGGAACCCGGCACCTGCGCTCGGGCTGGACGACAAGATGATGCATTGGAGTGTGAGCGGCGCGTGGATCAATAAGATGTGGCCGCTGCTGCAGGACATCTTCTCGAAGGCCGATGACGACAAGGACGCCAAGCTGTCGCCGCGAGAGCTGCGACTGGCCCTCGCCAACCCAGAGACCCGCGAGAAGCTGGCGGACATGGGCGTGGAGATCACGCACCTGAACACCTTCTTCAAGCTGGCCGACAGGGACGGGGACGGGCAGCTGACCACCATCGAGGCTTATGATGTTCCAACCTGCTTTAGCCTTGATCGCCAGAAAGAATTTCGAGCACCATGAAAGTACCGAAACTTGAAGGTGTTCACGTGTCGGGCCCTGGGAGGCGATACTCGTTCGACCTTGTTTCGATACTCGTCTGGGTGCTCGAAGCTATTTCTGGGGTGTGGTCCTTGAGCACGATGGGGGCAACATAAGTCGAGGCCCTCCACGGGCTCGCCCGCGTGAAGCAGCAGCTCCGCGGGGACGAGATCGCGCTGAGATTCCTGCGCACGGCGCTGGCCACCACGCAGGACGCGGGCGCCGAGGACGAGGGCCGCCGCTTCGACCCAGAGCAGCTGGTCCTCAAGTCGACCTTCGAGATGGTCGCCTGCGACCCCATCTTCCAGTCCCGCATGCTGGTGCTGGGCCTGGACTTCGACCTCATGGACCTCTGGCAGTTCCTCGAGGCCGAGGCGGCCTCCGTGGGCAGCCTGGAGGGCTTCACGCTCGAGCACGTCCTCAACGGTTACGTCTCCTTCCGCGACCCGGTGCGCCACGCCGGCGACACCACCGTGCATTTCCTCACGGATCTGTTCTCCGACTGCGAGACGGACGCACGGGGCGGCATCGACCTCGATGAGCTCGTGCAGCTCATAGAGGACCCCGTCACGCTCCAGCAGCTCCAGAAGATGGGCTTCGTGAGCGACGGCAGCCAGGAGCGGCTGATGCGCGACCTGCACATGCTGTTCTTCAAGGTCGAGGAGGACGCCACCCGAGTGCTCACCGTGGAGGACATCGTCAAATGGTTCGTCCAGATCCGGGAGATGGTCCGGCAGCGCGAGCTGGAAGAGCGCGTCAGGCGCCTCAACAAGGTGCAGGGCTCAAAGTCGTTGAAGCTCGCCAGGAGCAAGACCAAGACGTTGGGTCGCTTGACTAACCCGAACGTGGTCATGGATGCGACCCGGACAGATCCCGACGGAGCCGGAACTGGAACAGGCGTTATGCGAAAGAGGACGACGACGTCGAACAGGCTGCAGACTTGAGAGGATCACCCGGGACACGCGGATTGCCCCCTCGCTGCTGGCATCCGGCTGGGCTGCCACACAGGAGTCGATCTCCGCACGCCTGCGCTCCTCGAAGAAGAAAAAACGCTATAACATAAACGTTTGGCGCTCCGCGCGGATTTCTTGGACCCGCTCTGGGCACCCCCAGCAGCGCCTCCGGCGCCGCCCCTAGCGCGCTCCGCGCGCCAGGGAGGAGGGTCCAGCGCAGATCCGAGAAATCCGCGCGGAGCGCCAAGAGTTTATGTTTATGCCGTTTGTTCTTCTTCTAGCTCCATACGGTGGGGGCGTTCGTTAAGGAATGTGTTCAGAAGGCTTTAGACCCTGCAGGGTGTTCCTTATATGGTGAGGGCGGCGATGAGGTCCATGGCCGATCCACGACTGGAGTTCCACCGGCCTCCAGACACTGGATTCCTTATCGAAGGGTTCCTTATCCAATGCCCACACCGTACTTTTCAGTCGGGCGTGTCCCTGTACAGGAGAAATATTCAAAAACAGTCCAAGCATAGTCCTGGGACTATTTGTTGATCTCATTGTTTGCTCATATCTGAGCATTTGGGGGGCATGTCTAGTGTTCCGTCCACAAGTTCCGCCTGCAGGGGGGCATGCCAGACCTACCCGTACTTTGCATCGCTCACCTCCTCCCGCTCCTTGGCATCGCTCTCGGACCTGTGCATTTTTTCCCGGCGGGGATCGTTGAGGAGCATCCTGGATCAGCCTGCGGAGAAACAACAAACAACAACAAAAAACGCGCACGACATCGAAAACAGCACAGGGAAGGGACGACCGAGCGATGCGGCCCCCTTCGCGCGAGCTCGCCCGCCGCTGGCGGGCCCCGAAGCCCAGAGGCACGCCAGGGAGGAGGAGGAGGAGGAGGAGGAGGAGGAGGAGGAGGAGGAGGAGGAGGAGGAGGAGGGAGGCGGGAGGAGGGAGGAGGGAGGCGGGAGGAGGGAGGAGGGAGGAGGGAGGAGGAGGAGGAGGAGGGAGGGAGGAGGGAGGAGGAGGAGGAGGAGGGAAGCGGAGGAGGGAGGAGGAGGAGGAGGGAGGAGGGAGGCGGGAGGAGGGAGGAGGGAGGCGGGAGGAGGGAGGAGGGAGGCGAGGAGGCGAGGAGGAGGAGGAGGGAGGAGGGAGGAGGAGGGGAGGAGAGGAGGAGGGAGGGGAGGAGGAGGAGGAGGGAGGAGGAGGAGGAGGGAGGAGGAGGAGGCGAGGCGAGGAGGGAGGGAGGAGGAGGGAGGAGGAGGAGGAGGAGAGGAGGAGGAGGAGGAGGAGGAGGAGGAGGAGGGAGGAGGGAGGAGGGAGGAGGGAGGCGGGGGGAGACTCGGCGGGCTCTGGCCGTCGAGCGCGTGGCGCGTCCCCGCCGTCCTCCGCCGCGGCCCCCGGGAGGGGCCGCGCGCTGGGCGGGCGCCCGCTCGGCGTGCCCTGCGCGGGCAGGGGCAGAGAGGCTGCTGGGCAAGCTTGTTCCACAACCACCGCCAGAGGCAGGACGGGGGAGGCCTCCTCCTCCTCCTCCTCCTCCGCCTCCTCCTCCTCCTCCTCCTCCTCTTCCTCCTGCTCCTCCTCCTGCTCCTGCTCCTGCTGTTCCTCCTCCTCTCCTCCTCCTCCTCTCATCATCATCATCATCATCATCATCATCATCATCATCATCATCATCATCATCATCATCATCATCATCATCATCATCATCATCATCATCATCATCATCCTCATCCTCATCCTCATCCTCATCCTCATCATCATCCTCCTACCTCTCCTACCTAGCCTATGGTTAGCGGTGGTGGGAATTTGGCCCAGCAGAGGCGGAGTGCTCCAGCTTGCACGCAGCTCGAGGTTGCCGTCAGAGGCCGCCTTCGGGCTGGCGAGCTTGCTTCGAAGGGCTCACAGGCATAAGCTGAATTTCTCCGAAGTCCGCGCAAATGTCTTGGATGGGCGCTGGCACCCCCTCCCTGGCGCTCATGGTCCCACCCCTCACCCCCTCCCTGGGCACCCCTGGCGGCGCCTCCGGCGCCGCCCCTGGCGCGATCCGCGCGCAAGGGAGGGAAGTCCAGCGCCGATCCAAGAAATCCGCGCGGACCTCTGAGAAACCATATCTATGTAGTTAGTTGTGAATCTACTGTTGTCTCCAGCTTCCAGTGCGGCTGCTCTTCGCTCGGTGGCCACCTCCTGAAATGCGGGAGGTCGTTCTGAGTGGACGCCGCTCGGAATTCCATGCATGCAGATGCATTCTCACGGTTCGCCGATACGTGTTGTTGTGCAGTCGTCCTACAGGGACTTTCCTTTCCGACCCCTCTCCCATTTCCTCAGCTTGGCAACGCCGATCGGTTGTTTCACATGTGCATCCCTTCATAGAGCGCTGCGATCGTGTGACGTAAAAGCGGTGTCTGCCCACCGCCCGCGCATTGGCTGAGCAGGGTTTACGATCTGATTCGGCTTTCTTGTCACAGAGGAATTGTGTGTGCCCTCACGCGCCACACGACGAAATATAGGTGGGACCGCGGTACCAGCTGCATAAGCGAAGAATCGTCCTGTGTGGCCGAGCCGAAAAAGCGAACTCGCGCCTCCCCCATCCCGTCGCACGCTCGTCGCTTCGGTGCCTGCCGCCTGCCTGGACACGCCCCGCGCCCCCCCTTCTTTGCCCACACGGGCCGCGCCCCGCACTGCCGCCGACCCACCAGCCTGGCATCGCTCGGACGTGTGCCATGTTTGTTCTCGGCGAGAGCCATCGAGGAGCATCCCTGATCATCTGGCGAAAAGACCACGCACGAAATTTTCTCGGCGAGAGCCATCGAGGAGCATCCCTGATCCTCTGGCGACAAAACCACGCACGAAGCCGAACAAACAAAAAAACAGGGAAGGGACGCCCGATCGAGGAGCATCCCTGATCCTTTGGCGAAAAAACCACGCACGAAGCCGAAAACAAAAAAAAACAGGGAAGGGACGTCCGAGCGAGGGCGAGCCAGCCGTCCACTGCTCTCTCGTTCAGTGCGTGGTCTCCGAGCGATCTTGGGAGCCTCTCGAGGGGCCCTCTCGGGGCCCTCTTGGGGGCTTCTTTGGCTGTCTTCGAGCGATCTCGGGGGCCTCTCGAGCCGTCTTGGACGCTGTGAAGACCAAGGGTGCGAATCTCTCGTTCGGTGCGTGGTGCCCTCGGGGAGATGCCCGCCGCTGCACAGGCGGCGCTCGCCTCCCCGACCTCGGCACCCACCAGACAGCACCCATACTACAGAACACGCAGTACTAAGTCGGGCCTGTCCCCCCTACAGGGGGATGTTCGACAAAAAAAGCAAAATACCCCAAAAGTATTCGAATAATAATCCAAAAATAGTCCGGGGATCATGTTGGGGGTATTGTTTTGCTTTTGGGGGGGGGCATGTTTGGGGTATTTCGTATTTCTTTTAATTGTTCGTCGAAAATCCCTCTGTAGGGGGACACGCCCGACATAAACGCAGCACTCGTGCGTCCTTGTGCGCCCCATCCACCCCTTCTCCCTACCCATCATTAGCTCCGACAGGCGAATAAAAAGTGATCACCTCTTCGTGCCGGAGGGTGTCCTGGAGCCCTTGACGCGCATGGCTTCTCGACCGCGTCCTCAGCCTCTGCTTCCGGCTCCTCCTCCGCCTCCCCTTGCTGCTCCTCCTTCTCCCCCTCGACCTCTCAGGTGGAGGAGCGTGGGAGGAAAGAGCAGCCAGAGGATCACGAGGAGGAACGAAACAACAAGCCAGTCCAGAAGAGGAGGAGGAGGAGGCATGTGCCAGGAGGAGGGTGTTGGGGAGGAGGATGGACGGCGTCGAGGATCTGAACGCTCCAGCGCCGTCGATGTGCTGCTCCTCCCTGCTGCGATCGCCCAGAAAAAGAAGGCGAGGCAGGGGTTGGCAGTAGCTCCGCGCACTTCTCTCGCACACTTTCGAGATCGATCTCCTCGCAAAAAGTGGTCGTGTTTGTATTCGTTGTTTTTTGCCGATCGGCGCGGGCCCTCGCACCTCCCTCCCCCCTCCCCACCCCCAAATGGCGTAGATCTTGGCTGTTTTTTGGCGCCTGCCTCGAGCAGGCTGCTTGCGTAGATTTTGCGCGTGCCTAGACTTTGGCGCTTGCCTAGATTTTGCTTGTTTTCGGCGCTTATCTAGATCGAGTCTCCCCCATTGGATTCAGTGTTGCAAGAAGTCGCGCTAAGCAGAGGTCCGGAGCCAGACCCCCCCCCCTCTCCCCCCCTTTTCGCTCAATGTCGACCCGCCGAATACGAAGACGCTTACATATTGCTATTCGAGAGGCTCACGCCATTCCGCCGACCCTCAGAGCAGGGAAGAAGTACATGGGTGATGCCCTGTGGGGCCTCTTGAGGGCCCTGTGGGGGCCTCTTTGGGGGCCTCTTGGGGGCCTCTTGGGGATGCATCTTTGGGCCTCTTGGGGGCCTCTTGGGGGTGCATCTTGGGGGCCTCTTGGGGGCCTCTTGGGGGCCTCTTGGGGGCCTCTTTGGGGGCCTCTTGGGGGGTGCCTCTTCGGGCCTGCTGGGGAGTTCTTGGGCGCCTGCCGGCGGCCTCGAAGGTCCTGCTGGGGGCGGAGAGCTCGGGAGTGTCAGCTCGAGTTGCCTCTCGTGGGTCCCTCTCCTCCTCCTCCTCCTCCTCCTCCTCCTCCTCCTCCTCCTCCTCCTCCTCCTCCTCCTCCTCCTCCTCCTCCTCCTGCCCTGTTGAGCCCTCTGGGGCCATCTTGGGCGCCTCTCGGACCGTCTTGGGGCCCTCTTCGGCCGCCTCGGGGCCCTCTTGGGGGCTTCTCGGGCCGTCTTCGAGCGATCTCGGGAGCCTCTTGAGCCGTCTTGGACGCTGTGCAGACCAAGGGTGCGAATTTGCCCCAAAAACGTGGCCCCAGGAGATTGGAACACTTGTTGCTTCTTGGGGCCCTCTTGGGGTTCGACCTGGGGCTTCATCGGGCAGTTTTGAGGCCCTCTTGGCTGTGTTTGAGGCCTCCTCGGCGCGCTGGAGCTTGTGCCAGCT